AACATCAGCCACTAGGTCTTACAAAAAAAAAAGAAAAAGAAGAAAAAAAACCCACCAATGACAGAACACTATCACATTTCTGGAAGAATTCCTCTTGTTCCTGTTTAATTCCTAGGATGCCAAGTTCAGAAGACAGTATGCAGATGTTCAGTAACAGATTTCCACTGTGATATTTGTTTCTATGAAAAACTCTAAGATTTTATATCTTATAACTTTATTTCAGTCATACTTAGTATTTATGAGAATCAACAGTAGGTCTATACAACTGGAAATGTTACATTTGTTGATAACTTGAGAGCAATCATTTTTGATGTATCATGTAAGATAGTTTTATTAGTAGGTTTTAATTTTGCATAATTGCCACAGCACAAAGGTAATTAGCAGTATCATGATGGAGACTATTTATTGGGTGCTTACTGAAATGCCTACTAGGCTTTATCTTATTTTTGGCTTTGATCCTATGAGCAGTGAGACAGGAGTTAGCATTTCCTAGCCCTCTTGGGTTGACATCTTGAAAGGTACACAGAGGCCGGGCGGTGGTGGCACACGCCTTTAATCCCAGCACTCGGGAGGCAGAGCCAGGCAGATCTCTGTGAGTTCGAGGCCAGCCTGGGCTACCAAGTGAGTTTCAGGAAAGGCGCAAAGCTACACAGAGAAACCCTGTCTCGAAAAACCAAAAAAAAAAAAGAAAGGTACACAGAGACCACAGAAGCCCATAGAGGGATCCAGAGCAGTCAGGGTATGATAGCTTGTTTTCTCTCCTGCACAGTCTCGGAAGACACTAAAACCAGAGATGCTCTGAATTCCAAAATGATAGTGGATTCAGTAGCATTCTCCTGAAGATATGTCCAGTGGAACTTCAGAATGTGGCAGTACTTGGAATAAGGGTCTTTGCAGACAGAGTTAAGATCAAGCTCTTGGTATTTTGCCTGGGGAGGAGATTATGGACAAGGGTCCTTGTAAAAGAAAAGGACTCCTAGAGAGGGAAGAATGCTGCGTGAAGGTACAAGCAGAAACTGGAGTTAGGTGGTCCTTATCCAAGGACTATGAAGAGTTGCTGGTAGGTACTAGAAGCTGAGGAAAAAGCACAAGGAGATTCTTCCTTGGAGACTTCGGAAGGAACTAATTGTATCATATGATGATTTCATGCTTCTCGCCTCCAGGACTGTGAGAGAATGCATTTCTCTTGGTTTCAGCCACCTGGCTTGTGACGACTTACTGTTCCCGCCCTAAGACACTCATAAGCGTGGAACCAGGCGAGCAGCAGCGGGTTCTGTGGGAAGCATTGCAATCTCATACTGCAGATCAGTTTACAGAGAGTAGCTAAGCTTTCTAGTACAAACACAGAGAAACGGAGCAGGTGACCAAGAAGAGGCCTCAGGCCAAGATGAAGGGCATCAGAGTGCGTCCAGCACAGTGGCTTGCACTTCTGTATTTTCAGTGACAGATGCCAGCATGGCACAACTGTAGCTCAGCCACCCCACAGAGAGACTAGAAAGGACTAAAGAGCAGCAGGCAGATGCCAATGGTGAGACAAGATAAGAAATATCACGGATGGAATACTCAGGTCCTTGGTGCCCAGCATGGAGCCTAAAAATCTCTTTGCTGGTGGCCAAACCATAGTGTGAACTGCTTCTGATGTGTTGATACCCAGGAAGAAAAGAAGAGATGGAGGTGGGAATAAAAATTCCCCAAACCAAATATTTACTGTAAAGAGAACAAGTCTTTACTTGAAAGACATTATACTAAAAGGGAAAGTCATATTTAGCTCTTGGGTTTTAGTCTTTCCTTTGGTATTAGTCACATAGAAGGTTCATGAAAGGCAAGGCATAGAAAGTAACATACTTTCTACACATCTGAGTTGTTTTTCTGAGTTCAAGAATTGTGGTGGCCCACAGAGGCTTCCTAGTGAGACCTTACTCAAAGTCAGAGAATCTGAGCTTGCTGTACCCAGCAGGGCTGCATAATGGGATGATTTGGCCAGGGGCGTGGTTACCAGGCGTTTGGAAGGGTCTACACTTGGCTGTACGGTGTGTTTTGATCTTGAAAGGGGGAGTCTTTTGCCTCTCCCCTTGGCATATTATAAAAAGCCCTTTTGGCACAGGGACAAATAGCCAAATGAATGGAAACACATGAACTATGAACCAATGGCTGAGGGGTCCCCACTGGATCAGGCCCTCTGAATGGATGAGACAGTTGATTGGCTTGATCTGTTTGGGAGGCATCCAGGCAGTGGGACCAGATCTTGTGCTCATTGCATGAGTTGGCTGTTTGAAACCTGGGGCCTATGCAGGATTGTTTGGCTCGGCCTGGGAGGAGGGGACTAGACCTGCCTGGACTGAGTCTACCAGGTTGATCTCAGTCCTCAGGGAAGGCTTTGCCCTGGAGGAGATGGGAATGGGGGGGGGGGGTTGGGGGGAAGGTGAGGGGGACGGGAGGGGGGAGAACAAGGGAATCCGTGGCTGATATGTAGAACTGAATTGTATTGCAAAATAAATTAATAAAAAAAAAAAAGAAAAAAAAAAGCTGCATGGACTCAAGCAGAAACTACCATAAAAAAAAAAAAAAAAAAAAAAAAAGCCCTTTTGAATAAGCTCTGGGAGGCTGGGTATTGACCCAGGCGTCCCCCTCCACCCTGCCCCGCAGCTATCCTGTGTCTCTGTCTTTCTTATTGTCTCTTTCTATATTTCTACCTAATATTTCCTCATTCCTCTTTCCTCCACCCAAGAACCCTCCAAAAAATGGGAGCAGGTTGTAGCTGGATTCCGGCAGACTCCCACAAAGAATGTTATACTTTATTTCTGTCTTATCTGATAGGAGATCTTTCCCAGGAGATGTCTGTGACTCTCAGAATGAGATCTCTGTGGCTCCAGCCACTGTCCCTGTCTTCTAGATGGGTCGGACACAGTGGAGTCCCAAGGGAAACCCCAGAAAAAGTACAGGCGAGAATTAATGTGTCAGCAGGATCAGCAGGCATGGATATTTTCCTCTTCGTTCTCCCCAACTTTGTTTGATCATGAAGATTTTCAAATAGTCCAAATATTTCAGAGAATAGTTGAGTGAACAGTCTGACACTACACTCAAACAATTGATAACAATTTGCTAATCTTTCTTTCTTTCTTTCTTTCTTTCTTTCTTTCTTTCTTTCTTTCTTTCTTTCTATCTATCTATCTATCTATCTATCTATCTATCTATCTATCTATCTATCATCTACCTACCTGCCTACCAATTTATTATCTGTCTCCCGCCGCCGTCGTCGTCATCATCATCTACCTATTCCCTTACCCATCACTTCCCCCCAAAAAACCTGAATCTAGATATACCATGTGCTTTGGGGAAAACCAAATATTATTGTTCTGCTAAGGGAACATGGCAAAAAAAAAAAAAAAAGACTTCTAATGATACTCTGCTATAGATCAGTGTCTTGCTTATCCATCATCAGAACATCTTCTTCCTGCAGTATATGGGAACAAATACAGAGACCACAACCGAACAGAGAGACAGTGAGGGACTGTGGAACCTTCAGTTCTAAATGGGTTGTCTTTACCAAGCCCCTCCCCTCAGAGCTCAGGAAGCTAGCGCTGAAGAAGAGACAGAAAGATTGTAAGAGCCAGAGGGGAGGGATGGATGGCACTAAGGAAACAGTGTCTTCCGGACAGGACAAAACAGGACTGATGCATGTATGAACTCATAGAGACTGTGGCAGCATGCACAGGACCTACACAGATCTAAGCCAGATGGGGTGAGAGGGGGAAGTGGACATGAGCTCTCATGCCTAACCAAGAAGCTATCTCCAAATGACACCTGCTTGCAAAGGATAAATTCATTTTCTCCAATGGAGTCTCGCGGGATATATAAACCACACTTAAGGGTAGCCCCCACGGCCAATAGTAGATGGCCAACACAAAACAAATTCAGTAGTACTTTTGTAGAATTTTTTTTTGGTCTAATATTGCCTTGTTTGGGCATTTTTTAAATCTTACTGGTCTTTTGATTGTATATTAGGGTTTCTGATTTTTTTGTGATTTTGTGTGTGTGTGTGTTTTATGTGTGTGTTTCTTGTGCTGCTTCTGTTTTTTAAAATTCTAGTTTGTTTGGGTTTTTTATTTGCCTGTTTGTTTACTTTTTAAAGAGAGAGAGAAAAAGTGTGGCATTGGATGGTTGGAGAGGTGGGGCAGATCTGGGAAGAGTTGGGGGAGGGGAAGTCATGAGCATAATACATTGTGTAAAAAATTTATTTTGAATTGAAACAAATATATGTGTTTATTACTTACAAATGTACTTAAATAATCTGTCTCTAGGTGACTATCATATATCTCTCTAGATATGTCTACGTCCTTGAATGGAACCCACAACTGATATTGCTTGGGTGGCCATAAATGAATATATTTAAGGTATAGAACTTGATGATCATACACACACACACACACACCCCTTGAGATTATCTATCAAGGCAATAGCCATAACAACAACCTTCATCCCCAACGTTTCTTCCTTTCCTTTTATGATATTGCAATTATTAATATTGATTGTCAACCTGACAAAATCTAGGGTCACCTGAGAGACAAACCTCCAGGCACACCTGCAAGAGATTATTTAGCCTCTGCGTAGGCCTGTGAGTTATTATGTTAATTGAGGAGGGAGGTTCCACAATAAAAGTGGGTGGTACCATTTCCTTAGTTTCAGTCCTGGAGAAAGCTGATGATGGACTTTTTTTCTGCAGTCAACAGAAAGAATAGAGTCACTCCCTCAGCAGGGAGGTGAACCCAGAGCCAATTCCCCCGCTAAAGCTGTGGAAAACCAAGAAGCCCTCAAGACCTGTGCATTCACTGATCAGCCAGCTTGTGATTTAGGTCCAAGACAAGGTCAATGATCTTTTTTCGAATGGTGTAGTAGCCACAGACAAAGTCACTGGCAGCATCTTCTTTGCCTGTGATGAGCAGCTCCGGGTGGAAAAGCTGGTGGTAGGTCCCAGTGTGAACTTCGTCTGTAACTTTCAGGTTTCAGGTTTGCAGACATTTCCTGGGGCACACGCTTGCCAGTGCCTGTCTCTCTGAAGAAGGTGTTGAAGGAGTCATCTCCTCTTCCAATGGTCTCGTCACTTGGCATCTGGTCATCAAGCTGGATGTCGTGTTCCAGGCGGTGGAACTCCCAGCAGGCACTGCCCATCTGGACACCAACATGGTCAACATGGATAGAGATGCACTCACTCATGGTAGCTTAGAAGGTGAGGGTGACAGAAACAGACACCAGGTCCCAGGTCCCGGTTACCTTTCCTGACAGCTAAGCATCGAGGTAAGTAATGCAATGTTGTTGCCCTTTTCATTTTTATTCCTAAGAGCATCTCTTCTAAAGTATATAATTCTGATGATGACATGGCACCGAGTTCTTGCCTTTCATGTTCTATTTTGCACAATTGACAATGCAAGAAAGTCAAGTGTGGCAGACAACTTATCACTTGTTAAGTCAGAAACTCACATGCATACGAATTTCTCTACTTGTAGGTTAGGCTCACATGGTCATAATTTTCTCTTCAGAATCAAGTTACATAGAGGCAACAACCTCATAAGACTCAAGACTCTTGCAAAACATTAAGATTAGATGTGTGTGTGTGTGTGTGTGTGTGTGTGCGTGCGCGCGCGCGCGCGCGCGCATGTACAGCACTTAGCTTAGTCACTGGCATGCAATAAACACTCAATATTAAATAAATAAGCTATTATATTCTTAAACATGCAACATGTTTTGTCTCTTTTATGTTTTTTAAAATTTGTTTTTATTTTATGTACATTGGTGTTTTGCTATGGGTATCAGGTCCCCTGTAACTGGAATTAAAGATAGTTGTGAGTGGCCATGTGGGTGCTGGGAATTGAGCGTAGGTCCTCTAGAAGAGCTCTTAACCACTGAGCCATCTCTCTAACCCCTATTTATTTATTTATTTATTTATTTATTTATTTATTTATTTATTTATTTATTTTAGAACATACAAGAATGTATTGGGAATTCAGCTTAGCATATAAAACTTAGATGAGATTGTCTGGTCTAGGGGAAGGGCTTGTCTGCCACTGGCTGGTACACCTTCTTCTGGCACACTATTGCACAGGTGTGTTATGGGTGAATGGGAAAATGGGTGCTTGTTTTTTTTATCAGGTACAGTGATTGCTTTTTGTGTGCAGGAGAGAGCATGAGCAGAATACAGTGGGTAACACACTGCTGGCTGTGCTCATCCAGACATATCATACATACAATGGCTGGCTTCATCCATAGGCCTTTGATGACAGGTTGCTGTGGTCACCACCATTTCACAGAGCATTAAAAGGCAGGTGGTGAATATGCTCACTTGCTTGACAGAGTGCAAATTGGAATTATGCTCAAATTTTTTGACACTGTTTCTCTGAAACTATGCCTGTTTCTGGAAATATGCCAACAGTCCCAGGAATGCATTTTAATTTCTTTCTTTATATTTTACACCCTGGGAATTAAACTTATGGCCTCACATATAGTAGGCAAGTACTTTACCATTGAGCTGTACTCCCAGTACAAGGAATGCTCTTTAGGGAGGAACATCAGGATGGCTAAGGGGCTGCCTCATCCATTGATGTAGGACTCCTGTCTTCTATCTCATTTCTTGCTGACAGTCTGCTCAATGATTGCTTCCTCTACCTCTTTGCTAATGGAGTGCAGTTTTGTTTAAACTGTAGCTTGCTCGGTTTCAAGGGATGAATCACAAATTAATTAAGTCAACCACCGCAATGTTGTTCTCCTTTGCCAAGCTTAGCTTGGAGATCTGGCTGACGGAACATAAGGAGTCACCTGGGAGATTTGAGAAAAACTCTTCACAGGTCTATGGCAGAAAACAAATCTAGAGTCAAATGGGGAGAAGGATCTCTTTGTATTCTATCTCTTCTTTCTGCCTTGAATTTTTTCACTAAAGTCAAGATGCTTTAAGCCGCTGTAGCTGTCTAGACACTACACCAAGCACTTACATCATTGAGCTAGCCTCACCCTGGTGGCGCCTACTCCCGACTCCTTGTCAAGCCAGATTAAAATTGAGTGGCTGTTCTGTTATGCCTTTATAAATGTGGTTCACTGTGGATACAGTTTGGTGTCCTAATCCGCGTCTAAGAAGACAATTCAATAAGTCTAGTTGATCACATCTAGATATACATTGCTCTTAGGTTCTATTCATTATAATCTCCATTCTGGGCTGTGCTTCTTAGCCTCCGGTAAAAGAATCAGACTCCAGGGATAGATATATTCTGTCTCTGAGTTAATCTGACACAAAGGAAGTTTTTTCAGAACTGGCTGCCTCGAGTCCGGTATGCCTTTGATAAACAGGCTTGTTCACAAGTGTATTGTGGCAGCAGAGACATCGTTAGTGAAACCATCTCCACTTACATAATTGCTGTTTGAATATAGACAAGGCTATGCTTGCTGTCATAGCCTAAATAACTAATTGTATAAAAACAAATCAATCAACATGCAAGACCATAATATTTTCCTGATTATTATATATAAGAAAAAGGGAAATGACCCAAAATAAAAACACTCAAAAAAAATCCATTTTAATAGTCAGCCACAGACGAAGTACAAATCTAAATGACCAACAAATGTGTAAAATGGAGCCCAACTTCCAGTTAGGAAAGTAAAAATAAAAGCGAACTTGAAAGGATCCATATCAGGGCTGGAGAGATGGCTCAGAGGTTAAGAGCACTGACTGTTTATCCGGACGGAGGTCCTGAGTTCGATTACCAGCAACCACATGGTGGCTCACAACCATCTACAATGAGATCAACCACATGGTGGCTCACAACCACAAAGATCTGGCGCCCTCTTCTGGCCTGCAAGCCGAACACTCACTGTATAAATAATAAATAAATAAATCTTTTCTTAAAAAAAAAAAAAAAAAAGAAAGAAAGGATCCATATCTAACATTGGCCAACATGGATATATTTGTCAGGTCTTGGGAGTCTGTGGGGCTTTAGCACCTCTATGGACTTTGGAGCTAAGAGGTAAGGAAGCTTGGTATGTAAAAGCACAGACTCCAGAAGGAGCCCTCCTCCTTTGCTATCTGACATTAAATAGACCTAGTTCAAATAAGCACACCCCAGCGCCCAGCGCCCTCATCTGTGAAATGTAAATACAACAACAGGCAAAATGTACGTAGAGATACTTAACACCCAAATGACCTGTTCTAAAGTATATCCCAAGGTCTGTGGGGACCCAGTGGAACTTAAGGAGTGTCCTTGCACGGAGGAGGCACTCCTCAGGTGGTAGCATTTTTACTTGGGAATATACACAATTAAACTTGCTGATTCCCTTTGAAGTACAGATTCTTGAAATCCCCTGCCCTTGTGCTCAAGGATGAGAAACCATGTATGGCAGTACTAGTACTGGTTGCTTCAGCAACATCAAAACTACCCAAATGTCCATCTGGAAGGAAAGAGATGAACTGTTGGGGAATTCATCTGATGTTAATTTTGTTTTAACAGAAAGGCCATGTGGAGACTGACTGGTATAGGTGGCATTATTCCATTTACTTAAAGTTTAAATGCCCAAAACATATAAATTATGGGCAAACAAATGTAGAAAAAAAAAGGACGAGAGACGGGAGTGATCCTGCTGTCTTCAAGATAATGGTTACATGTGGGTAAGGAAAGGTCATCGGGAGCTGGGAGAATTAGAGATCCAGGCTGACAGAAATGCAAGCGAAGCCTGGCAGTCACAGCCCTGCTGTTCTTGCAGACATACACAAGCAGGAGAATCACCAGCAGGCTTTTCCCAAGAGCTCACAACTCACACAGGTCCATGCTGCTCACATGTCATTGGCTAGAATTAGTCCTTCGCTCTCACCCCTCTGAAGGGCATTCTTTTTGCTGCACATGAGCCATGCTTCCCACGTCTGACCTGTGGTCTAAAAAGAAACGGAACACACTCAGCTCCAGAGTGAATAAGCTTTCCACCATTTTAACTGCCCTTGATCTGGAGCACCTCGATAATTCAGTCTTCCCAGTTTTGCTCAATCTCTGGTCCTCAATGAGCTCTGCCGAGAAATGCCAAGTCTTATTTCACAGAGTTACCAGATGGGAGCATGGGCTACCAGGATTTTATCCACCAGTGATCCCCAACAGCTGGAGTGGTTATACATCTTTTCAAGATTTCATACAAGTGTCTAGAATATTTTTGATTTTTAAAATTAAATGTTAAATAGTGATCATTATAGTTATTCTTTTAAAATAACACGGGGCTTGCCTCTCAGTGGCAGAATGAAGCACTCTGATGACAGAGTGTTTGTACGAGGAGCCCGCTGGCTGGTAGACCTTCCGTGAGCTGGGGAGACTTTGAAAAGCTCATTCATCAAAGGCAGCAGTTTTGGCAAACTCTGAGCTCCAGCTTTAATTAGCATCATGTTGCTTTCTTCAGTTTAGAATTTTTGCATAGGTTAAAGCAGCTAGGGAAATATTTTTCTAAAATCCACCTGCTCAGTCAGCATCACCTACCCTTTGGTTTTCCATAAATAGCCCACAATGAAGAATGGTCGACCTGCAGGTTCCCATACTCACAGCTTGTGGGTGCCACAACCGAGCATATGGAAAGTTAGTGTTTGGGGCCTTTGTGACTTTTCTTGAGCCAGAAAAGTGAGTACCTGAGGCTGTTTTCTTAATACCTGCCCCGATCCCCACCTGGCCTTCCGGTTTGGAGCAGTGCTTGGAATTAAGTCAGCGTTAGCTGCTTTGCTGCTATCCCAGAATTGTCTTTAATGTTTTTTTTTTCCAAGTATATGTAAAAACCAGCATTCTCGTATATCATTTGTAGAACTGCCTACATCCTTCGGTTAGGCACCTGTGAAAATTTATCTTTTAATTACATATAGGTGTTAAATAATTTGGCTCTATTGTTAAATCAGTTTCTGTAAACATAGACTTGAATGGGACAAGAACTATTTTAAGAACGTATGATACAGCTGTATCTGATAATTGGTTTCTCCTATTGTTGGTATATTTGTTACTTCCACTCAAATAGTATGTGATTTGAGAGTTCCTCTCTCATTCTGGAGGTGAGAGGCAGAAGCATGTGGATGGGGGTGTGCCAATTGTGATGGCTCTTGCCATTTGCCATGACAATGGGAAGTAGCTTTGTGTTTAGAGAAGTTTGTGGATTTTCTTTGTCTTCTCATTGCTTCCAGAACTAGACATCTCACTGTAGACATACTCTGTATTTCATAAAGCTCACATCCTGTGAACCAGCTGGTCATTTTGACAGAAGGAATAAAATGGAAAGCAGGCCCTTTCTTTCCA